ATTAGCGGATAGCGGATTATATTAGCTGATTTGACCAGCAGATTTCATTAGTGGTTTTTAATTAAGCGTTTGGTAAATAGCTCAAAACTTGTAGCTGTTTGACATTGCAAAATGACCAATAAGAACATTTTATTATTTAGGGTGTATTCTTTTAATAATAATATATTAGAACATTTAATATTTTTTTAGTTGGTAATTTATAAATATATTATTTTTTTAAAAAAAATTTACTAACACTTGATGAAGAAGTTATGAATTTTACATATTTCTTGGTAAATTAATCATATAGATGACATATTATTATTTATTAGCTCCATAGACCAATGTAGATTGTAAAATAAATAATACTACAAATTAAAAAGTTACAAGTAAATAATTTTTGTGAATCCTCTATCCCAAAACGCTGCTCTAATGAGCTTTTTCTAAATTAGAGTTTATGGCACAAAAAACTTATCAAATAAGTTATTTACCAAACATGATCAATAGCGGATTTTGACGGGTCAAACCTCTCAATTAAGTTCAATCTGCTAATTTGTCTTAAATCCGCTATCTTCCAAACGGGTAATAGAGATAAATGGATAGATAGATAGATGGATATGCATAATTTCACGAAGGATCGGATAAATAGAAAAATATACGTAAGTTCGCGTATAATTGGCGTTAAGACTATGTCCAATACAAATTATCAAATGATAGGATGGGTAGTAACTTGTGGCTTACAGCTGTAAACATATAAACGTATAAGTCTGATAGCTTGATCCGTTTGTCGAATATGTAACACCTGCAATGCTTGTCAAATAATCGAAAATGCAAGTAATACAAAAAACGTGAAATAAATGTAAAAAAAAAACTTTAGAATACATAAATGTGAAAATAATTAAAAATAATATATGAATTGATAGCTGATAGCGGATTGTTATAAAAGTAAACTTCATAATACATAAAATGTGAAAAAAACTGAAATAATATAAGAATTGATAGCTAAGGGCCTATTATAATGGCGGATTTGAGTAGAGGTTTTGTAAATACTAAATAACATATTTTGTAAATAGCGAACTATAATAGCAGATTTGACTAGCACTTTTGTAAATAAAATATTTTATAAATAGCGGTTTGTATAATTATTTTAAAATCTTATGTGTGACATGTTATTTTACAAATTATCTCTTCTCAAAATACCCCTATATGAGCTCTATCTATATGTTATTAGATTATTGTAAAATTAGGGAAGTGATAATAATTTAGAGAGTTGACCCACCCATCTTGTTTGGTTAAATTGACCTTTTGAACCAAAACATAAAACACTGATATTTAAAAGGCTCAATGCATTGAAGAATATAAGATTTGTATGATAACATGTCAAGCATAATAATTTCAAAACAACAATGCAGTCCGTTATTTACCAAATAAACTCGCTATTTGCTATCAGCTAAATACTCAAATAAAGTCACTTTTTTTTTTCTCAAAATTAACATATTAAGTTCAAAAGTTAACCAAATAAGTTTTTATATCAAACAAGCTAGTTATATATTGTGGTTCAATCTTTTAATTTGGCATGACTTAGAGTGTGTTTGTTAAAGGAAAAACTCAAACCAAATTAATTATACTCAAAATCTAACTCAACTTTAATTATTAAATAATAATAACCAATCATTTGTACATATCATATCAACTTTAATTCACTATTCATCCACTCACATAATTTTAATTAATCATCACTTCGTATGATATCTCTCATACTTTTACTCAAACCAATTTTAATTTTTTTTTTTAAATAATACTTGAATATAAACTCAAAATCCCACTAACAATTAACTACACCACTTTTTCTAAAATAACCTTAGTTAACTAAAAAAAGCTCACTTTGAGTTAATTAACTCAAATTCTTCATTTAACATAACATACCCTTACAATCCATAGTTGCACTACCGTGTGCCTTGGCACACCTTGCTAGGTGTGCCAAGGCATAAATAC